CTGTATTCATCCAATAAAAATTCCTCGAAAATTTTACGTTTTACTCCCTTGGAGTCTTTAGACTCAGAAGTAATTTTTTAATGGAAAATTAAATGTATTAGTTAGAATGCCTAATGCCAAAACAAATAATTTAAGGAAATAGTAATATCCTTACTTTGACAACCATCCTGCCCAAATTTTATTTTAAGAGTGGTAGATATCACTCCCCTGATCACTCTTGATCACTCTCTGACCACCCTTGGCCACTCTTTGAAGTCCCCACATGTTCCTTTTTAAAATCTAGAAGATGACACAGCCTCTATTCCCATTCTACCTGTATGTTTTTATATGAACAAGAAGAAACAGCTGGAATCTTCCTAAGTCAGTGTTTTTTAGACTTTTTGATTGTGACCATGGTGAAAACACCTGTCATATAGAGCAACCCAGTCTACCCTCACTAATGAGTTCATCAAAGAAACAAAGGCTCATAAGACAGAATTACTCTATCCCATGTAAGATCTAGTGCTCTGTTCTATTGAAATAACCGTTCCGGGTTTAGCACACTATTCAGACTGGATGATTCATTAATTATTCATGATATTGCATTCATGTATGTTTATTTAAGCAAATGCCATCTGAAATGCAGCATAACAAATGAACTTTTCCACTCTACCGCTTCTCCTACAGTTTCTCTTTAATGTGTCGTCATTTCCCCTCAAACTCTTGACTGCCCAAGTGTATCACCATTGATTTTCATTTCCTTAAACTCCCTCCACTTTACAAAAACTCATTGTTTTCACAGTGAGTCGTCCATTGGGTTGCCTTGGTGTCTAACCCCAATCCATGTCAAACCTATCGGTGTCGGCTGAGGCTCCCACAGCATCTTCAGGACTAGCTGTCCTGCTTTTGCTTGAAAGCCCTTGATTTTTTGGTTCTCTTGATACAATGGTCTCTCAGAATAAAATATCAACTAAAATACTTAAATATAGGCTTGTGGCTCTATATGTGAACTCAAGAGGCAATGGAGGTTCTGTGGGAAATAATATTGTTAAGAAACACATCTCTGAGGCTAAGATCAGTCAGCACAGGGCTAATGGATAAGCACAGACACAGAGAGAATGGCTATTGAGGATCTTAAAGAGAAAACACACTTGATGTACTTGAGACCCAAGAAGAGTTTTCTGGAACATGCTGAGTTGCCTAGAGCTTGAGTGAGTTAAACAGGCTACCACATATGTGGTATGCATATCATCAAAGGAGCTTTATTACATTAAACTTGAAAGAAAATCCCTAGGGAACTCAAGGAGGCATGTAACAGAACAAATACATTTGTGTTTTCTGGTTCTGAAAGCCACTGGACGTCAGTGTTGAGGACATGGAAATAATGGTGGTGTTTTGAATGTTTAGCAACTGTAAAATTTCTGCTGTTTGTAATTTTGAATGCTGTCTTGACTCTGGTAGAGTAAAACAGTTCCAAGTTCACTGACCACCAGTCACTTTGCTGCATAAGTTAAATGTGGTCTTGCATAAGAGATTCATACCACTACCCAATAAGTTTAATGAGCACAGGAGCCCTGGGGATTTGAGATAACAACAAGTAGCATCGATTGGAACTTAAATGAACTGTCTTTGCCAAGAGCACTGCATCTCTTAAATGTACACACTGGCACTGGCTGGCTGCTCCTGAAGCAACTTACACCAACCCCTGCTGTTTGGAGCCAGTGGCGCACATATGTTCCCATATTCTCTGTGTTTCACATCCATTCTCTGAAAGATCCCCATAAAGACATTGGCAGTGAAGATAAGAAATTATAGGGCAACACTGAAAATGAGCATTGCAAGCACAGACTTTGGGTTGCCATTGAAAATTGTGCCAGTCGTGCCAGGCATTGGCTTAAAGGAAAGAATGGAGTGGATTCCACAGAGGCACTCTGGAGTTCCACTCTGCTCTCATGGATTCAATCATGACTGTTACTTGTGTGTGGATAGGCAACCCTTCTGCCATCCAAAATGTTCTGAATCCAAGTGAGTATGTCCAGCCCTGCATTGGGCATAATTTATGTCACTGGTAAAACGGTGTTCACACAATCCACATAAACTTATACAGTAGTCCAATCAGATTTTATTTTGGTGTGCCATTTTCTGTAGTGCATATTGAACTAGAAATATGTGAACACTTCTGAAAGCAAAGTGGAGCTATTATTAGAATTCAAGACCCATTTTTCTCTCCATTATACATTGATTTCTTGAGACTGCCAGGATAAATGATCAGAACTGGGTAGCCTAAAGTGGCAGAAATGTATTAGCTCACAGTGCTAGAGGAGGGGGCTGGGAAATCAGTGTGTCAGCAAGGCTTGTGCCTCCTGCAGATTAAGAAGGAGTAGCTGCCCACACTTGCCCCTAGCTTCTGATGACTGCCAACATGTTTCCACCTACCGTCCACAGCTATATCAGTCCAGTCTCCTCTCCCTCTTCAGACTTGTGTCATAACTTCTTACAAGAACATCTGCCATTTGCTTTTGGACCATCCTAAGCCACGATCTCATGTTGGATTTCCAGTATTATCTCACCTTGAATTTCTAAATCAATTACACTTAACAAAGAACTTATCTCCAAATAAACTCTCATACTCACTACCATAACTCTGAGAGATACTGGCTAGGATGCACATACATTTTTGGTTGCCCACATTGTAATGAACTACAGTTAAAAGGATATTGTCATTATAGGGCTATGGCAACTCTAGATGACAAGCTTTTAATATTATTTTACAAAATAGTATGGATAACAACAACAAATTCTTTTGTGAATTGTGTAATTTTTGGAAATTTCACATCATGCACTCCAATTCTGCTCACCTCCCAGCCCCTCCATACCCACCCCTCACCCTTGCAGGATGCTCTCCCAAACGAATTAAAAACAAAACAACCAACCCCCCTCACTCTTCCATCTTTCCAACATCTCTTTATTCATCCTAGTGGTGTCAGGAGCTGTGGTGTGTCACATAGTATACTCCTTTTGTTTGATCAGCCCTACTGCAAAATGTTCATTTCAATGAGTCTGTTCTAGTTCAAGGTCTCAGGCACACCATCATCACTGATCTGGGTCCTCATCAAAACTCCTCTCTTATATTCTTCCGACAACAAATTATTATTTGAAGTATTAGAAAATAAGGAACATTATCTTTTTAAAAATAGTCTAAACTACTAATAATGCCTATTAGTTCATTTCAAATAGTTCCAAATTGGCTTAGATATGTTTTGCATGAAATAATAATGCTCTGTCCAGTCTACAGTCTGTTGTGTAATTCTTTGGGTCATTGTAAATTACATGTCTCCAGAGATCTTTAAGAGCAGATGTGTATTGAAAAGAAGGTGATTATGTCATAGCTATGACCTCAGGACAGTTTTAACACTAAGAAAACACAAAATGTCATAGAAGAAGCACTTGAAACTAAAAGTAAGCAAGACATAGGAATGGGCTTTAATATCACCAATGATTTTCAGCAATCAGAAAATTTTACAGAGAATGAGAAATTGTGAAAAAAAAAGCTTTGTGTTGGATGTGTCTTGAATTGGTATTTCTTGCACAATATCATGCTTCTAGTGGCTTCTCTCATTCTACCCATTGCTCTAGTAACTAACTTCCATTAACTCTATTAGTTAGTGACAACCTATTTCCTTCCTAGAGCTACTTGAGATAGTTGGTTGATGTTTATTTCCGGGATTATTTTGTCAGTTACCCATGAATAAGCTGGGATTGCTCAATAGCATTGACCAATGGGGACAAGGAGGCAATTGGTAATCTTCCTTTACTTACTGCACATTTCAGAGATTCATTTTATCAACCTCCAGGAAATACCTTACCTGACAGATAGGTTGATTGAGGCATCTACCTCTGATGCATAATAGCAGAATGTTATATTGGTGTGATGGCTTGAATGAAAATAGACCCGAAATGGAGTGGCACTGTTAGGAGGTATAGCTTTGTTGGAGTAGGTGTGGTCTTGTTGGAGGAAGTGTGTCACTGTTGGGGCAGTCTCCTATGATCAAGCTATGTCTAGGAAGACAGTTCACTTCCTGTTGCCTGTGGATCAAGAGATAGAATTCTCAACTCTTTGTACAGTACTATATCTGTCTGCATGCTGTCATGTCCCACTATGATGATAATGGACTAAAACTCTGAAACTATAAGCCAGACCCAATTAAATGTTTTCCTATATAAGAACTGTCATGGTCATGGTGACTCTTCCCAGTAGTAGAAACCCTAACTCAGAAAACTGGTGTTTCCCTTCCTTAGTCTTACTATTCCCAGAATCAAATCCCCAAGAACAAACTTTGGTCTCAGGATTTGCTTTAGGAAAACCCAGGCTAAGTTACACTACTCTTGATTTTGTTTGTGAAATAAGTTACCATTTTAAAAAATTCATATGAGTATATAAAACTCAAATGTAAATTTCATTAGATTATCTTGTTTAGAAGTCTAGGCAGATAGATTTAATGACATTATATTCTACTTTTGTTCCTAATTATTCAATAAAAATGGTCATCTTATAATATACAAACAAAAGTTGTCCAAAGAAATACAAGCTAAAATCATGAAGGCAATACAACTTTTAATTAAATATAAATACCCTCTTTATCCAATTTGATATTGTTTATAGTTACATTTTACTCCTTAGGATTATGTATTGAAGGGGCTGGAGAGGTAGCTTGACAGATAAAGGCAGCTGCCATCTTGCCTAAGTTTGATCCCCATGGTTTATATGGTAGTAGAGAACTAACTCCCACAAATTGTCCTTTGACAACATCCGTATTGTAGCACATACACAGTATGGCACACACACATGTGTACACACACACATGTACATTCACATAGTAAAATGTAATAACTTAAAAATCATATATTTACTTTTGAGTGTCAGGGGAATGAAAGAAGATACCCGGTGTAATATCAGTGGCAATATTTTATGTTGTGGAGCAATGTCTCTATTTCATGTGATGTCTACGTATTTTGAGCAGGGTGTTACACAAGTGCAGAAGAGTTTTGGACGTCAGTCAGTCAAGCTGAAGCACTAGAGGAGCCTGACTAATGCAGTTGTGAAGCACATGGGATAAGTGGTTCACAGAAGCTCTGGTCTCTAGATTGACAGGTAAAACTCCTGATGAAATTTAAAATTTTAGAGAACACGCTGTGAGAGTTTAAATAATTGTTTTCCTGATAACTTTTAATATGTTCAGAGATAAAGTCATTAACCTGGGCATTTATAGTATTGAGTTAAAATTCAATGGCATGGGCTTAATAAAGATCACTGTTGGATGCCTTGAGTTATCAGAGCCAACTAGGAAGTGATAAGACCTGGTATGCTTAATTCTTGGTTGGATAAAATCTCTTTAATCATTACTTCTTTTTCTTGTATAATTACTTTCTTGGTAACTTTGAACTATTTATTTCATGCTGGATTATGCTCAGTAATGATCATCAGTAAGAACATGGTCTCAGGTTTAAAAACAGTATTAATTTTCCTATATCACATTGATGATAAATGGTGTTTTTGTCATTTTCTATTTTTTATTTATGTTAACATTACTACATTTACTATATAGTCATTTTACTGTATAAAATGTAACTGTTTTCCATAATTATTAAATATTTCTATTCCCCTATGAGTTTGATATATACTACATATCTCTGTGTACATTTAAGGGAAATATTCTAATAGAGCCAGTTTTCCTAGGCTAATCGAAAATTTGTACCTGAACATTTCCTCTGGAATTCTTGCAGTTTCACAATTCCATCTGAGTATAGGAATGTCCACTGAATGGAGCAGAGCAGAGATCTTCTGGTTGGTCTTGTTATATATGAGGCATGAAGAAAAGAACCTGTTTAGTTAATGGCATGTCTCCCATCACACCTTGACTATCATTTGTTGGTGTGTGTGTTGGGTTTTTGTCTTAGAAACTGCCCTTCCTCTCTGATTCCTCCTTTCCCATTCTTCATATTTATTTATTCTAATACTGAAAGCAAGAAATCCAGTCGACTTTTGCTCCAAGGTGTCTCTCAAGTCTGGAAAGCCCAAGTCTGACTCTAAACTTAAGCTAGGTTCAACAAGTCAGTATTTTTTTAAACATTAACCATAGAGTTTATTACAGGGAGGGAGAGCGAGAGCAGGGGAGAGAGAGACAGGAGGGGGAGAGACAAGAAGGGGGGACAAGAAGAGCAAGAGGACAGAGCAAGAGAGTGAAGAGCAACAAGTCAGTTTTGTTGAGGCAGATTTTTTTTTGGCATAAATTAGGCACCCTTTAATTACTGTGTGTCTCCATTTACTTTGTCCCCCAGATAATTTTTATTTGACAGAATTCTGGAGGGGATGGTGGATGAGTCTTAAGTCCTTAACATCTAATTCAATATAATTAAAGAACTTGAATCATTGACTTGGGAGAAGTGACTTACTGCCATTAGTAAAAAAAGAAGAAACTTGAATGTTCAAGCCAAACTTAACCCTGAACTGGGCACTGTGGAGCTGACAAAACTGTCAAGCCAATTTATCTGGAAGCTGAAGTTTGTAGAGCAAAAGCCAAGAGCCCTTCTAGGTTGATGTTCACAAGAAGCAGAAGAAACACCTTTGTCTCCAAAGTAGGATCCTTCTTAACCTTGAAATCTCACCTAATGAGAAGAATAGTTAACCCAGGAACAAATGAGCGCCGGGCGGTGGTCGCGCACGCCTTTAATCCCAGCACTCGGGAGGCAGAGGCAGGCGGATCTCTGTGAGTTCGAGGCCGGGCTGGACCGATAGCCTCCAAAACAATACAGAGAAAGCCTGTCTCGTAAAAACCAAAAAAATAAAAAATAAATAAATAAAGATACAAATGAGCTTGTCTTCCTTTGGGAGAGAGTTGTTGGCTTTTGAAGCATTAAATGTGTAAGATAAGATCACCAGGAAGGCAGAGGGAACTATATTAACTGGTTCTATTGGCCATCACTTCAATTCTTCTTGGGGAAAATGTCTTAATAAGGCATACAGTGATGGAGCAAGACACCTAGTGTCATCCTCTAGCCCCAACACTTGCACGTGGGTTCCTATACCCCCGACCACCTGTACACAGACATTCTATGCTCACTCACACTCGCAAGTCACCAGATCACTGCATTTATCTGACATCTATAATTACATGCCATTTATTAATTATGGGCCCTTTAAATTTATTTTATTTTAGAAATGTAGTTTAGTACAGAATTTTGAAATATCCATTCTCCAGATTTTCAATAAATTTCCAGATAAAAATGTCTCATCCTCTATTATTTTATCTCGTGAAAGGAAGATGTGAAATTGTAATACTATTTTCTGGGTCTTTTCAAGACATTATGCATCTCTCTCAAATGGTTTCAGTATTTCTATTGAGGATATAAATATTCCTTTATCTCATAAATAATAATCATCTTAGATCAAGTATTATAAACAGTCCTATCTCCTTGGTTTATAAGAAATTAAGTGATGTATAAAAGTAGATTGTGCAGGCCCCATCTGAATTAATTCAAGATTGGGCCAAACACATTATTTTGCAGTTTGTCAACTTGCCTCCTTAGAAGAGTATCTGAGGGCAAGAGATTATTCTTTTAAAGTCATATTGATTTTGCCAAGAGTGTTCTTCAAAGAGCAAGTGTCATCATTATTTCTCTTACTAGGTAACATTTTCCCAGTGTTTTGGAGATTATCCCTGTTAAACAGCAGTTCTCAGCTTAGGCCTTACATTAAGATCACATGGAGAGATTTTAAACTGAATGGCCATTCCATGTCCTGGAGTAATTAATACAGAACATCTGTCTATAGAATAAGGACACCAGCCCTTTTTCCAAAGTCCCTGATCCAAGTTTGAAAACTCATCCTTTGAGAAGATTGAACTTCTTCAGCTACATTAGTTAGATGTTCTCAACACTGTCTCCAGTGTAGTTTTTAAAAAATGTTCTTACATCCTTCATCCAGTAACTGATGGAGATAAATGCAGAGATCCACAGCCAAGCACTGGGCGGAGCTCTAGGAATCCTGTTGAAGGAAGGAAGGGAGGGAGGATGTCTGAGCCAAAGGCATCAATGTCATCATGAGGGAACCCACAAAAACAACTAACCTGGGCTCATAGGAGCTCACAGATTCTGGACCAACAGCTAGGGAGGCTGCATGGGACTGACCTAGGCCCTCCACATAAGTGTGACAGTTGTGTAGCTTGGTACATTTGTGGGATTCTTAGCAGTGGGATCAGGGTCTGTCCCTAATGCTTGGACTAGCTTTTGGGAATCTATTTCCAATACTGGGTTGCTTTGCCCAGCCTTAATACAAAGGAAGGTGTTTAGTTCTACCTCGACTTGATACGTCATGCTTTGTTGTTGGCCATGGGAGGCTTGACACTTTCTGAACAGAAACAGAGGAGGAGTGGACTGGGGGCGGGGGTGGGGGAGCAGAAGGGAGGTGGGAGTGAGTGGGTGGGTAAGGGAACTGGAGGAGAGGAGGGAGGGGAAACTGCAACCAGGATGTAAAAGAAGTGAAAAAATTTAATAAAAAAGAATTAGAAAGCAAAAATAAACAAAAGATGTTCTTATATGTTACTTTAAAAAGAGCAAACATTGTACAACCTTCAAAACCTGTGATAGTCTCTTCAGGGATAGAGGGATCAGCCCCAAAGGGTCACTAATTATCATATCATGCTTTTGGGTGAGCAAATGGGTTCATTTGCACTTTTCACGTGCTCTGAGGATGCAGCTTCCTCTTACTCCCAAGCAGTAGAGAGTTTTTTTTCACCCCTGTCACCAGTTGGGGAACTTCAAAGGTGAGATTGCACTACGAGTGTTCACAGTGGACTTTGGCATGAGACATACCCGGGCCAAGGCAATCTTCACATCCCGCTCAGCATGGCTAAACCACACCTTTTCTTCCTGACTGTGGTCTTTTAACCTTCCTACGTCTATTTTAGAAAACTTTCATTTTGTCAGTTCTGTCTGCTGGTAGAACATATTAAAATCCTTCAGCTTCTCTCTAGTTTCACAAATTCAGAAATATCTTTCTCAAGGACCAAAGAACACTTTAAACTGAATATTATTCTTATCATTGTACTGAATAGCTGACAAAAGCAATACAAGGCAGGGAGGGTTTTGATCCACAGGCAGCAGAAAGAGAAATAAAGAGAGATTGGGATTGGCATGGGATTTTGAAACCTCAAAGCCCACCCCCAGTGACACACTCTTTCAACAAGGCCATACCTCCTAATCCTTCTAATCCTATCAAAGATTTCCACTCCCTGGTGACTAAGAATTCAAATATATGAGCCGTAATTATTCAAACCATCACATGTATTCCCTGGACCCCATAGGCTTGTAGCCATAACATAATGCAATATGCATTTAGTCCAACTACAAAAGTCTCCATAGTCTTTCATAGTCTCAAAACTGCTTAAAAGTCCAAAGGCTCTTCAGAAACTCAAGGCAATCTTTTAGCTGTAACTCCCTGTACAATTAAAAATAATAATAAAAGAGCAGACAACATACTTCCAACATACAATGGCACAGGGATGGCTCCATGTGTCTCATGCCCTACACATTCCTCATGCCAGTATTTACAACATTTCTGCTTCTTTAGATAAACTTCAGTTCAGTTTCTCTTACTGAAAACCTTGAATAAAACCACCCTTGCCTATTTAGCTTTGCCGTCAAGTTTTACTTTAACAACCTCTATTTCATGTCTCCCCTAGAACCTACTTGTACAATAGAGGAGAGACCCAAGGGCAAAGTGTCTTGACTCTCCAAATCTTTAAATGTCCCTAAGTAAAATAAGTAAAATGTGGTGTGTGAGTGTGTGTGTGTGTGTGTGTGTGTGTGTGTGTAGCCTTTTAGAATTATTCAGAGAATAATGAATTACATTACTTAATGTTCTTAGTGATCTGGTTTAAAGATTCCTAAACTGCCCAGGCATGTTGGGGGTTACTGAAAGAATAAGTAAGTGAGGGCAGATAATCAGTGTAAAGTGTTAGTTGTTATTGATGTTGTTGATGTTAATATCAATTGTACCACTCTTACTGTAAGTAGACAGTGCTCACAGTTCCAGCTCGAAAAAGAACATATCTACATGACAGGGCTTCCTTGTCTTTGTTAAGTTAGCTCTATTTAACTGTATGCACAAGAGGCATCGCAGACTCAATCTCAGATGGCGTCATAGCCATCACAGCCTCTAATTCATCGGGGCAAGCAGCTGAGAGTGGCCGGAAACCCTGCTGTTTGTTTAATGTCGCGAGGCACACCTGTGTCCCGGTCCAGATTTCTAAAATATTGCATGTGTTTGTTGCTATTCATGCGTGCTTAGAGGCGTTATTAAAAAACTCTTATTCTCAGGGCCTGTGAGATAAGAGAGTTATGGTAAACTACAGATGTTAACCACCTGTCTAGTCACCTGCTCTGTTTCTTTAGGAGATCATCATGTTTTCTACAAGGGTTGCATATGGAGCCATGCAAGGCAAGTCATTGTGGAGTGTTTATTTGGAATGATTGAGGAATCTCCCGAGGAGTAGCTGCGGATAAACAGACGCCTTTGGCTCTTGCTCTCACCTGAATTATCATAGGTTACTTATGTAAGTGACTTCCCCCCAAATAAATTTAACCTACATTTAACCAAGTCCCCTGTATCTTAATCTGTGCATCTACACCAAGGTGCTGCCCGGGGACCCTTGGTGTTTGGCTTTCTTTAAGGCATGATCTTTCATTCTGGGGTTCTTTTGCTTGGTCACGGGTTGGGGTGGGTTCAGTCCTTTGTCCTCAAGTGTTTACTGAAGAGTCCTGCATGTTTCTGGATATCAAGTTAACTATAAGAGACTTGAGGAAAAAGTTAAGAGAAGAACGAAGTGGAATGATCTGGCTGGCGCTGGCCTGTAAGTCTGCTCTTTATTTTGTATGCCTAGTGTCATTGTTCTCTCAGTACGGCAAAGTGTCTGGATTCAGACCTGGGTTGCTTATGGCTGGAGCTTCTGGTAGCAGTTTTTAATTCAGTAGTTGCTTTTAGAGTTTTTTTAATTATTACGTATCTGGAAGTGGGTGAAATGTAGTTCTTGAAATTCTCATAGTGTTTTTAGACTAATGAGAAGGTAGAGAAAAATCAGTGACTTGAACACAGATGGGGCCTCTCCTTCAGACCAACGAAACAGTATGGAGTAGGTGATTAGGCCCATTAAGCATTGGGCAAAGGCTTCTTTGGAGTACTCATATTTACATTTCTGGTTCAGTTAGTTACACACACACACACACACACACACACACACACACACAGAGTCACTGATGTAGTGTTTTCCCTGTATATTTCTGTCTCCCCTACCTCATGTGTGCATGTGTGTGTATACGTACATGTGTAGGTGTGTGTGCGTATGTGTGTGTGCATGCGCATGGATGCGTGATTAGAGGGCAGCTTACAGGAATCACTCCCCTCTTCACCATGTGGTTCCTGGGCATTAAATCCAGGTCCTCAGATTTGACAACCTTTACCCACGGAGCCACCTCACTGGCACCCACTTTTCCGATTTTATAGCTTCCCTGGTCAAAACACAAAGGACTATACTTCGGTATTTAAATCTTAAGAGAAGAAAAGTAAGGCTCAGTTGCATGCTAGCTGTTGATTTTGAGCAAAGTCTTTAATGTCTCAGCTTCATTTCGCAGACCCTTATATTGTGGATGGTAATCACATACTCTTGGATGCAGTTTTGTGAAGATTAAATAAAAAATCACTCAAATACAGTACTTAGCATAATTTTGACAGGGAGAAATC